AGTACGCCATCACGACGCACAGCGTCTGGCTCGCGCGGCACACAAAGTGCTCGTGGTAGCGCACGATGCCAGGGTGGTCGAGCGAGCGCAGCACCTCCACCTCTTGCTGCGCCTGCGCCCGCTCGTCCTCCGTGAAGGCCTCCATCGAGATCTGCTTGAGGCAGTAGTCACGGCCGTTACGTACGTCGCGCGCGAGTGCGACGGTGCCATAGTTGCCTCTGCCGATACGCTTCAGGTCGGCATAGTTGTCCATGGCGTCCGCCGCGAGCCGCGGCGAGGGGTCGCCGCGGCCCAGCCCTCCGAGGGGTCGCCGCGGCCCACAGCGCTGCAGCCCCTCCGAACGCTCTCTCGCTCGACGAGGAAGGAGAAACGCGGTGCGCTTCTTTTGCTGTGCGTCGCATCTCTCCTGGAGATGCCTGCTCGATTTATTTATTTAGATCTATTTTGTAGTGCCGAACGCCTCAGCACGCTGTGATTTTGCGTGAGCTCTGTGTCTTGATCTGTTAACAACAAAACTTAAAAGCGCAAGCAAGGCAAGAAACGCTGCCAATTGCGAACCACGGAGCACGGACGGATCGGGCGCAGGGCGAAAAGAGTTTCTCGCACGGTCGCTGGCGGCGAGGTGGGGGACTAACACGTCGGACACGTCCACGACAGGCACGCACGGGACCCTTCAGGCGTCAAATCGCGTTTCTTATTACGGGGAAAAAAATTCTTATTACTGAGTCCGGGGCTCACTCTCCGCCGCGCGCGCTACACGTTTTCACGTTTTGGCGGAACGCATGCGGTAACAATGCTGCTGCGCGTACTCTGCCTCGCAGGTCTGGGGTTGGCACTACCTGCATCTCCCGGGGCGGATGCTGACTTTGACATTGATGCGCACTTCTCGAGGTACATTCTCGGCAAACTGTTCTATTACAACGGCACCAGCCAGCGCACCCCAAACGGCGACAGGCTTGTCTATGGCCGGCGGGGCAGAGTGGTTGGTTATTCGGACGATTTTCTGTTCATGCGGTTTCCAGGCAACAAGGACACCGTCCCTTGCAAGGTAAACTCTGTCAGCCCCGGCCCGCCGCCGCCGCTGCCGGCCGCGCGCCCAGTCCCAGCACCCCCTCCACGCCGTCACTGATTATTTGTTTGTTCTTATGCTTGCGAAACAGCCCTGAAATCTTCATTGTCCTCGCACGAACCCACCCAGCTGCGACTTGCGTGACCCCCCCCCCCCCCGCCTTGCGGACTTTTTACGACGTGAGTGAGGGGGTTCGTTTGCGGGCTGCGCCAGTCTCAACACGCTTAGAGGAATGAATTTTTTTGAGCTAGCCTTCGATGTTGTGAAACAAACGCAAGGCGGATGACACAAGCACATCGCTCTCGGGCCCACAAACATCCCGCACACCCGCCGCACACCCGCCCCCCCCGCGCGCGCCCGCCCCCCGGCCGGGAGAACGGGGAGTGTGACAGTTTGGGAAGGAAAGAATTCTGCAAGCTGGCCGTCTTGGAGAACTTGGAGTGCGATTAGTAGCCGGGGGTCTGTGACAGTAGGGGGAGGGCTCCCAGGGCTTCGAGGTTTTTCAGTTGTTTTTATCGTGCGCTGCTCACTCACCATACACTGAGTGGAGAGACGAGACAGTACACCACACACACAAACACTACTCCCCAACACGCGGCTAGCCAGGCCTGCCTGCTCTACACGATGGCGACGTTCCTCAGGGTTCTGTCTGCGTGCTTTTGCTGCTTCCCGCTTGGAGTCGGCAGTAAAGCAAGTGGGTGGAAGCGGGGGCGACAGGGACGGCGGCGGCGGCAGGGGGCTGCGGCTGGGGGGTCGATGCCGAGGTGTGTGCCCATGTTTGTGCGTGGGGGGCGTTGCACGCCGCGGATCAGGCCAGGCGGCGGGGAGGAATCGGACGGCGACGGCGGCGGCAGGGACAGGGGCAGTGGCGGTGACCCAGGGATGGTGGCGACCGCCGCGAGCGCGATGCAGCCGGCGAGGCGAGGTGACAGGTGGGCGCGACCGTTGCGCGCTGCTCGAGTGCGCACGACAAAGCAGCTCTGATGCGCCATGGTGACCTGCGTGCGCGGGGACGGCAAGGGTCGCGCCGCAGCCCGTGCTCACCGGGGCTCAGTCTCGATGGGGAGTGGGGGGGGGAGAGAGAGAGCAGCCAGGCCCGCGTACCGGCAATGCGAGACGACATTGACAGTTGGAGCCGCCCGCGGCTTGCAGAGCGTTTGAAAGTTGTCGGGCTACGTGCGCATGTCGCGGGCGACGCCCGTCCGCAGCTCACACGTCGATGATGGCGAGGAGCATATTGGTGGAGAGGAGCGTCCCGGCGCTGCCTGGGCTCGCTCGAGTTTCCGGTCGGGCATGGGCACGGCGCGGCACTGCAGTGTGACACCCAAAAGGTGTTGGACAACGGTGACACGAGGGCTGGGGGTGTGAAGGGCATAACCATGGTTGCGTGCAGACAATGGAGATAGAGCAGCCCCGGAGCGGAGGCCCGCCCGGGGTATTCAGTGTGTCGCGGGCGCCTAATCGGGATTAATTCCGTCGGGCGCCTACGAATTTACGTTTGCCGTCGGTGTTTCGCAAGCGCGCCTCACACACACCTGCACGACAGCACACAGGAAGGATTTTGGAAGGACGATCAGGGGGACAGGTGGGGCTCTCCTGCTCCTGACAAGGGACACGACAGGCTCGCAGCGCGGTGCACGGTGGAATCCCAACTCCACTGGCGGTCTCACTCATCTCAGTCTAGCGATTGCCTCCAGGTGCGGCAATATATCTTCTTCCAGGGCTTCACAGGTTGTTGGGCGCCGCAACGCCGCGGTGAAGGGGCGCGGAGTGTGGCGAGTCAGTTTGGGGGTCTCCCGTGTGCACATGGAACCTTCTGCACATCACGCCGTGCGGGAGCCGCAGCTTCAGTTCCAAATCGAAGACCTCGACGAACTTCCACACGGCAGTGGCACCGAGTGCATGCACTCGCCGCCCGATGCGAGCGTTCAACAGCAGCCAGAGGGCGAGGCGGAGGCGGCGGAGGCGTCCGCGAGGGCTAGACGCGAGCGACGCGTGGACCCCGCCTGCCCGCAGGGCGAGTCGTACACGCGCGCCGAGTTCCGCGCCTTTTACGGCTCCCTCGAGCAGTGGCACGCCGCGGCTCCCTTGAGCAGTGGCAGCTCAGGCACGCCTCAGTCAGGCGGGGCGGCGGCGGGCTCTTCGGACTCGCCGTATCCCCGCGCCTCCGCGCTGCCGCCGGGCTGGAGCAAGATCACCGACTACGGCAAGATCAAGGGCTACCGCGGGCCGGACGGCAAGAAGGTCACGACGAAGAGGGCGGCGTGGCGCCTGCACGAGGAGGCGGCGGAGGAGACGGGGGCGAGCTCCGAGACTAAGGAGGTCGAGGTGGAGGTTGACGAGGAGGATGGCCCCGATTGTGGCGTGGCGCCGCCGCCGCGCCCCGCCGCTCCACCGCCACCTCGCCCCGCCGAGCGTGCCGCACCGCTCTCGGCCGCGCCGCCCTCTGAGCTGGCGGCCAGGGCCGCCGCAACGTCTGCCGCTTACGGGGCGTTGACGCCCCCCCGCAAGCGGCAGAAGACTGGCGGCGCTGGCGGCAGCAGCACGAGTGGCGGCGGCGTCTCCGAGGACGCCATGCTGGCGGCGGCTGCGGCGGCAGATCCGCAAGAGATCGTGACGGCGATCGTGTGCGACGGCTGCGAGGCGGCGTTTGAGCTGCCGCCCGGCGAGCTCGTCCCAGATGGCGACTGGTTCTGCGCGGCGTGCAAGTCCGCTGAGCCGCAGGGAGCGGCGGCCACCGCCAGCGCCACCGGCGCTTCCTCCTCCGCCGCCGCCTCCGGCGCCCAACGGCAGGCGCCGCCGCCGCCGCCACGGCCGCCGCCCCAGAAGCTGCCGCCGAAGCTTGGTGTCGGCGCCCGAGTACGCGTCAAGGGCAAGGGCTATGGCATCGTGCTGAAGCAGGAGCGGGATGGCGATTGGTTGACGGTGCAACTGGACAGCACCGGGGGACCAATCAAGGCGCAATCAACGGCGGTCTTCGCTACCGGCGAGGGGCAGGAGGCATCGGCACCGGCGGGTGGGGAAGCGGCCAGGAGCGGCGGCACCCCCTCAAAGCCAGACGGCCCTCCGTCGCCGAGCGCTACGGCTGAGCATCAGGCTGAGTTGGACGAGGTGAGGCGAGAGGCGGCGGCGGAGGCGGCGGCGCGTGTGGCGGCGGAGGAGAGGAGCGCCGCCCTCGAGCGGAGGGCCCAGGTCGCCGAGGAGAAAAGCGTCGAGTTCGAGCGGAGGGAGAAGGAGGAGAAGGCGGCGCGCGAGGCGGCAGAGGCCAAGCTGAGTGCCGCTGAGGAGGAGTTGGCGTCGCAGAAGGCGGCGCGCGAGGAGGAGAAGGAGGCGCGTGAGGCGGCCGAGAGGCGCCTGGCAGAGGAGAGGGAAAGCAGCGCCGCCGAGATCGCCGCGCTCAAGATGGACACCGAAATCTTGTGGAGGCGGAATCTACAAAACTAGAGGCTGAGTTGGTTACTGAGAAGTGAACAAATTTTGTAAAACATTCTGTCTGGCGCCCCGGGGGCCAATATGGACCCGCCGTGGCGCGCCCGGCGGCCCGCGCTCTCTGGGCCGGCGGGCGGCGATGGTACGACCCCCGTCGCGGGGGAGGAGGAGGAGGTCGAGGGCGCTGCTGCCGCCGCCGAGAGGCGGGCCGCCGCGCTCCGGAGACCCCAATTGTCGCCGATCCTTCAGCGACGCGCCATACCGACACCGGGCACAGTTCGCAGCCACTTGCTGCCCCCCTGCGTCCGCCGCGGAGCTTCGGATTCTACTTACAGCGGCGCGGACGCGGAGGAGGCAGGCGGGGGCTCTGGGGCGGCGGAGGCGAGCGCGGCGGCCACGGCCGAGGAGGACAAGCGCGTCCGGGCGCTGAGGATTGCCCTGCAGCACAAGACGCAGATGCCCGTGATGGACGAGGAGGCCCGGGCTATCCTCCAGGCGCGAGGGGGTCGCGAGACTCCCGTGACGGAGGAGGAGGCGCGGGTCATCTTTCGGGCGCGGGGACACGTCGCGCGGCAGGGCTACCTTTCAGGCGCGGGCGCGCGGGCGCGGCGGGCGCGCCACGGCATCGCCGGCGCTGGCGAGCAAGGGCGGCGAGAAGCTATCGCGGCGTGGGAAGAAGGCGGTGGCGAAGGAGGCGGGCGAGGTGGCATCACGCGAGGAAGGCGAGGCGATTTCTCGCGCGACGCTCGAGTCGCTGTTGGCGTCCACCGATGAGTATGACGATCGGCCGTCGATCCCGAGGCACGAGGGTCGTCGGTTGAGCTAGGGAGCCTGGCGATGGACGCCACCGCGACCCCTCGTGGCATCTCTCTCGCCGTCGGCGAGCTAGGGGCTCACGGACGGCCGACTTTTTATATGACCAGTAGGACAGCCGTGAGTGTGAATCGGATTTTCCGAGTGAGTTTGCGTCCGTCCACCGTCTTCGTGGACGTCTGTCCTCGTGACACCCACACCCCAACGGCCTGTCTTGCTTCTGTCGTACCGGTGTCAGCCTCTCTGTAGAGCATCCGGGACGATCCTGCCACATCCATACCGCGACGTGCGGGCTGCGCTCAGGGCAGCACAGTGCCGCTCAGGGCCACGCCGTCGCCAGGAGAGGCGGGCGGCCCGACGGGCAGCTCTCCCGGCATGGTTCTGGCAGAGGTTTCGCCGTCCGGGGACGGCGGGATGGGTATCGTCGAGCTCCTCAAGGCAAAGCGGGGCGGGA